AATATATATCAGGTAAATTTCGCTTGTTAATATTTCTGACCCTCACGAACTGATTGGATATTATGATTCACAGTATGATACAGTCCATATAACAGCTTATTTCGATCCTCCACCTGATAGCCCTGAAAGTGAAATGGTCCCCCTGTCCCTATATTGCGCTATTAGTTTATATGTTGCTACACTAGTGGTGATTGTTATTGTTACCATCATATTGATATGTCTACTGTATATGAGGTCAAAGCCACAGATAAAAGCATCGAGTCTTTTGTTTAGCCTTATAATGTTTATCGGTTGCTACCTAATATGTGCTACATGCATCGTACGAATCACTTACGCAGCATTCCCGAGTTCTGAGATTATTTTTGAAATTTTGTGCAACGTCCAGTCTGTTTTCTTCTTCAACGGTTTTAGTTTGGTCTTTGTTACACTCTTTATTCGTCTTCTGAGAATTAAGAAAATATTTGGCAACAAAAGTCTCACAAAATATCTTGGCTGCTGCTGGACTAACAAGGCCATGACTCTTGTTGTCATAGTGATAACGATAATTCCTAATCTAATGCTCGTAGGCTGGATTGGCTTTGATAGATTAAAGAGAGAGACAGTCAATGTAACGGTAGACGTAGAGCCACTGGTATACAATGAAGAATATTTCATGTGTACTAGCCAGTTGATGTATCTGTGGTATGCTATGGTGTTTACCTATACTGCTTTTATACTTCTCCTAATTGTTATTCTTGCTGCCTGTACAAGGAAGATAAAGCACAGGGACTTCAAAGACACAAAGAAAGTCAACGCTTTCATTTTCATTTTTGTACTAACTTTCACTATAACTGGAATTTGCTTGTGGCTATTTCGTGAGATCAATCAAATCAACGTAGGCCATACAGTGATAATAAGTGGCTTATTGTTGCTAGTACTGGAATGCCAAGTAATGCTGTTCCTGCCAAAGATAATGTTTTGTAACAGAAGAAGACATCGTTCTTATTCTGTTACTGAAAATGTCATGACGTTGTTTTCTTTTGACAAGCATGAAAAGCATTAGTTTTTGTGTGTGTGTGTGTGTGTTTGTATGCCGTGTGCATGTATTGATCTGTGTGTGGTTCTTTTATTGCTGTATTATACTTACACTACCCAATATTTATTTAATTAAGAATTATCACTTTATGAATTTTATTAATCAGCCCAGCCATGCATCCAGGTGCCCAAGTGAGCAATCTTCATTGAATGGTGCTATCATAACACACTTCTTCTCATGTGATTGTTCTGAATTACCTGTGAAATCCTATATTCATAGTAGCACTATGAACACAGTTAGGTTGAAATGATCTAATGTGAACTTTGCGTAACGTTATGAAATGAATGCAGACCGTTATAATAATATGAATGTCTGGTATCAATGAGTACAAATTCATTGTCTAATAACCATATTATCGTCACGCATTCACATTAATCAATTTGAACTAAGCTAAGTTATTTGGGCTTGTATCCACATATGGTAATGGGTTTTACCATTACTACTACTACTACAACAACAATTCCTAGACCTACACCTAGACGTTTGATTTACCTTAACAATATTGTACAACTTGCTGGACAAGCCAAGACATAAGTTGTGTCACACGCCAATGATAATTCAATATCACCATAATACCTTCACCAGTTTACTGTTCACCAATCACCAATGACCATCATTTGATTTATTCATTGCAAATGCTAGTTCTGTATTATTACGTCATATGTCATATATATAATCGGTCGTCGTATACGGACATATCCGTTGTTATCTTTTATTGACCACGCCCTATATAGCATTCTTTGTTGTCCGTCAAAAAAGTGTGAACAAGATGAAGCTACTTCACAGCCCTAGCATAAGAAAGGTGGTCGGTATAGCCGTCCTTCTCTTTATTCTAGAGCTGAACATGATAGCCCTCTACACTTACACCATGGTGGATCACCCGCACTCTGACGAGACTCAGTCAAAGCCTACGGACTCCATAGTGCGTGTTAAGAGGATAGTGAATGTTGTGACTGGATTGCTCCCTGGATCTGACTCACAGGGCGAGTTATTGACTGATAGTGGTAGTGGTGATGGGTCTCCTGTCCCTGGGGAAAAATTTAAACCGAATTTTAACGTAACTAAGAAACCGTCAAAAAAGCCACACCGTCCAGCCAATCAAAAGGCAAAACCAAAGGACACGACCGCTAAACCACGTCCGAAAGCTCGCCCGAATTCTGTTTTTCCCTCTCAACTACCTCCGGTACTAGTGGTAGGCGTGAAATGTTCGGGTGTATCGATTTTGACACAATTGATGAAGCTCCACCCACAGATAGTACTGACGAATGGAACATATCAGAGAATAATGACAAATACATACGATGATAGTAGTAAGATCAGCAGGAGGAAAGGTCAGGTAGTGGTAGATGTATCGACTGATTTATACACTAGCAAGGATGCTCCATCTTTGCTCAAAAGACATTTACCAAAACTTAAAATCATCGTAATATATCGTGACCCTCTTGACCGATGTCTTTCCTGCTATCACAGAGCGTATGCTCAACTTGATGGATCCGGTGCTAGATCCTTTGATGATTTTGTTCTAAACTCAAAAGGAAAAGTAAATATGCAGTCAGAGCTAGTAATGGAGAGCACATACGATGTCTACTTGTCGCATTGGCTGAGCTATTTTAGCAAGGCTCAATGGCTCTTTGTTGATCATTCTCAGATCATTAATCAACCCTGTCGCACTTTAAAGAGATTAGAAGTGTTTCTCGGCTTAAGGTCATTTTATAGGAAAGATCACTTTGTATTTAACAAGCAGCAGTCGCTTTGTCTTATTGATAAATTAAATGAAAAGCTTAAGCTAAGTAGTCCCTTCTGTCTGCAATATAACATCACAGTAAACGAGGCATCTATTATGAGCCCAGACACTGAAGACATCTTAAAGGAATACTTTATCCCACACATGGAGAAGACACTGTCCCTGATTTCATCACAAGCATACTTGAGTGATCTAGTATCATTTATGAACTAAAAGTGGTACATTATTTACTTCAAATATGCAATCCATGTACTATTATTATTATTATTATTATTATTATTATTATTATTATTCATTTTTTTAATACTAAGTGAATCGAAGTTTGTCTTTAATTTTGTCGAATGACTTTAATTCTTGGCAAAACGGTTTATGCAACTGCGATAGACTAACGATTCTGTTAGCTGAAGTAGTCCACTGTAATAACTGACATATTGTATGAACAGCTCCATCGGTTAGTGAAGTATCAAACAAGTGCAGCTCATTTAGTGTTGCATTAGATTTCATCATTTGGCATATGTCACTCGCACTGCTTGAAGTTATTCTCCTGTTTCCAGCTAAACTGATGCTGCATAGAGTCTTATTAAGAGATAGGCACTTCATTAGAACAGAAATCCCCTGATCACTTATGTCACAGCCCTGCAGTGATAGTTGCTTAATGCTTTTATTAATGCTCAATACTTGCCCTATGCATTGGATTGTTTTATCATTGAGTGTTGCATCATTTGTGATCCAGAGTGTCTGGAGTGTACTAGTAGTCATGAGCCATTCATTGCATAGCTGTAATAGGCCATACCCTATTGAGCAATTATCAAACCAAACAACCTGAAGTGTCTTGTTATTAGCAAGTGAGCGTGAGATTCGATAAACATCCAAAGAGCACTTAAATAATCCAAGACTGATGAGTGTAGATATCCTGTTCATCTGAACAAGATTGGCTGCAATAGATGCACTGTATATATCTAGACTCCACTCGGTGTTAGGGTCAGAACTGAGCTTCTCTATAACCTCTTTATATTGTATTACAGTAGGGGAATGAAGCTTCACACTGTTATTGCTCCAAACAACATTGGCCATAGCAGCAGCAGTGAGAGAGTGGGCGTTCAGCAAAGAAAGGGTGGGGCTCATTATGGGTGTGACCACGTCAAATAGGCGTGGTTTTAATAAAGATGGCGGTCATTCATTATCTGGTACTATTTTTCCTATATCATTTTGTTTGCGGATCCGAAGAAGTTTCTGCTCAAGACTCGAGCGATAAAAATTCTCCTAAGCTATACACGATTGAAGGAACAGCTGAAATCACTGGTAATCCCGATACAAAGACGTGGATAACAGAGGCAAAGGTATTAGTAGATGGTGGTCGTTACATTGGGCACTTAAAGGCTTCAGGGGATTTCAAAATCCATCATATACCACCTGGGTCATACCTGGTAGAGCTAGTGCATCCGAATTACATATTTGAGGGAGTGCGTGTTGATATTAGCAGTAAATCTGGCAAAATAAGAGCAAGGAAGGTCAACCCCATGAAGCCCGGCAGCGTCATAAGTTTACCGTACCCGATAAGATTCACAACCAAAGGACAGGCTGGATTCTTTGAAAAGAGAGAGGGATGGAATATAATGGACATAGCTAAGAACCCAATGGTAAGAAAAACAAAATTGTTGAGCTGTTGTTATACATGTTTATATGTATGTACATCTATTTTTTATGGGTTTAGGTCTTATTTTTAGTGGCTCCTCTGTTACTTATGTTGCTATTACCAAGGCTAATGAACATGGCTGATCCAAGTACTCAAAAGGTAAATCCTTTTAATTGTGCAGTGACAGTAAGTGATACCGTAATAATGGTATAGTGCAAATTTTTCAAGGGGTGCAAATTTTGCTGATTTCACAATTTTTTTTTGAAAAATTGCGAAAATAAATTTCACAAAAATCAAATTTTTATGATACAAAGATGGCAGAAGGCGTAAATTTGCAAAAATTAAATCTGCGAAATAGTAGGCAAATTCGCAATATTTATACAGCCCTTGAAAATTGGTACTTCCTCATCATTTTATCATGTATAATAGGAAATGCAAGAGTCAATGCAAATGTTTCAGAATCCGAGTAGCTCAATGCCCTCAATGGAAGAAATGTTTACAAACTTTTTTGGAGGAGGAGGAGGAGGAGGAAAGAAGAGAGCGACAGGAACTAGTAAAAAGAATAAATAAAAATAGAGGAGGGGGTCCAAGAACATTATTAGCACATAGGGACCGGTGCTGAACTAAAACTATAAATGATAAAAATAATTTATTAATAATCAAAGTAATAATCATACTTTTCAAAACCTTCTTTCGGTGTGGCTAACTTGTATCTTATTAAATGATTCGCCAATATGTGTGCAACCTATACACCCACGCATTTAATTAATCCAGTATACAACCACACCCACTTTATCTGGAGCGTCTTCATGTACAGTGTGACCACACCCACTCAGTACTTGTAATTGTATTTTGCCTGTTTAACGGTTCCTAAGGTGTAGCTAGGGAAGTATTATGAACATTACCTTGCATGTGAGCTATGGTGAGTTGCTTATCAAGTCGATCTACACCTAATTAAATAGTTGATGATAATTAATTAAATAGTGGAATTTATTGGAATCCGGTTATCATTTAATTAATTGTTATCATCAATTGTAATTACCTGCTAATATTATTATTTTTGATACGTTCCCACTAATAGAGAGTAGTGTTCCTGATAGTCCCTCAAACCACCCTCTCCAATATGTCTCGGTTTTCGTTAGATCAACGCGCCACGTATATTCACTAGTGGATGTGGTTTGGTGACTTGACTCCGCCTCTTTAGAATCCTCTTCCGGTATCAAAGTCGCTGGAACAGACAAACCCTCGTTCTCAATTCTAATTATAAGGATAAACATCGGGAAATAATTTCTTACTCTTTTAATTGTCCAGGCATCGAAACTCTAGCCGATTCAATGTTTCTTAATTGTCCACTTCGAATACTAATTAGGCTCATTGTAATTTAAATATGACGTGATTTGATCTCACCTCCACTCTACTGCATTCTCTAGTGATGGAAATCTTTTAGGACGACTTCTTAAAAAACTTTGCATGCCACTCAAAGACTCCAAAGCTGTACCTAATAATAAAATATAATAATAATTAATAGTGTATTGGCCAGAAGATTATATGCATAATACGTCTAGGTATATACAAAGTACAAAATTCATGCACTCAAAAATTTTGAACTGATTTTAACTAAAATTGGATTTTTTATGAATTTTAGAAGTTGTTCCAAAATCAGACAAAAGGTCTTAAGACAAATTTTGCCAAAAATGACTATAAGAGAATTCTCCATTTTAATTACATTTTCTGATGCATATACATGTACTTATAGCAAGTTTGAGTTGATTCCGATCAAAATTGAATTTTTTTATGAATTTTAGAAATTGCTCCAAAATCGGACAAAAGTCCCTGTACTATAGTACATTACATGAGGGAACTAAGCCCTTAACAAACATCTTTAACAAAATAAACACAACACAGAAATTACTAGGTTTAGAAGTAAGATAATAATAATAGAATAAGTGATAGGAAAAAAATTAATAAGGCACAATGAATAAGTTAATTGAGGGTGAGATGAGCCTCCGAGACAGCTCTACAGAAGTCATTGGAGTCAAATGATTTCAGTACAGGGTCTTAGGCCAAATTTCGCCAAAAATGACTAAAAGAGAATTTTCCATTTTTATTACATTTTCTGATGCATATACATGTACTTATGTTGTGTAGCAAGTTTGAGTTGATTCCGATCAAAATTGGATTTTTTATGAATTTTAGAAATTGCTCCAAAATCGGACAAAAGTCCCTGTACTATAGTACAGGGTCTTAGGCCAAATTTTGCCAAAAATGACTAAGAGAGAATTCTCCATTTTTATTACATTTTCTGATGCATATACATGTACTTATGTTGTATAGCAAGTTTGAGTTGATTCCGATCAAAATTGGATTTTTTATGAATTTTAGAAGTTGCTCCAAAATCGGACAAAAGTCCCTGTACTATAAGTACAGGGTCTTAGGCCAAATTTTGCCAAAAATGACTAAGAGAGAATTGTCCATTTTTATTACATTTTCTGATGCATATACATGTGCTTATGTTGTGTAGCAAGTTTGAGTTGATTCTGATCAAAATTGGATTTTTTATGAATTTTAGAAGTTGCTCCAAAATCGGACAAAAGTCCCTGTACTATAATACAGGGTCACGGGCTGAATTTCACCAAAATTGAAAAGAAAAATATTTTCCATTTTTATAACTTTCTATGATACATGTACATGTACTTATGTTTCGTAGAAAGTTTGAGCTGATTCTAATCACAATTAGATTTTTTATGAATTTTAGAAGTTGCTCAAAAATTAATTTTCCCAGTATAATATCATAATAGTAATGACCCCATTATCTTCATGTAAGAGACAATAACAAGGTAAATTACCTTCAACTATATCAATAAGAGCCACACCAACTAATGATTTAATCAGACCAGGTACTGCTGCAACTCTAACTGCAATTGCTCCGCCCATACTATACATGTAATGTACACTCGTTATTATTGTTATCATTTCTGTACCTGTGGCCCATTATTAAAGTGGGGGGAGCTTCCTTTTCTTTATATATTTCATTAAAAACAGATGCTACATCACTACATGAATTATTATCGTCATTAATTATTATTAATACTATTACTATTATTATTATTATTATTATTATTAATTATTATTATTATTATATTACTTTACTAAGATATCTTGTGATAAGTTATAATCATCACCAGTAACAGTAGAACCTAATAATAATAATAATAATAATGACGATGATAATAATAATAGCAATGATAATAACAATAATCTCTTCTCACCATGTCCTCTCATATCAAGAGCTATCACTGTACAGCTTATCATGCTCATCAGTGACTCCTACACATGAAATACTAACAATTAGTCTTATCACACGTTTTGAGAGTATGAAATAAACCCATTACACAGCAGCTAATCCAATTAACCTCATACATCACATCCCATCACATCACATCACAATGATCAGGTCACGTCAGGTCACATTTATTTATATTAACATACGGTGAAAACTGCCCAAGATAATCCAGAATAACCCCCTCCATGTATTAGTAAGACCAGAGGACCATCACTACCTTTAACATACACATTAAACCTATCCTAACACACACACAGAGCTAAGAAATAATAATTGCTATGGCAACTGTTACTATAGTAACTATAGTTTCATTGGATACGCTACTGTTGATGGCTATTGACTGTTGACTATCGAAATATTGGCTCCACGAGACAGGAGAGTAGTCCTTCTTGCCACCTTTCTTCCTTTTACTATAGTGAGGAGAGATAGAGAAACCATAATTGACATGGCAGGGTAGAGCTGGAGCAGTCCCTAATTACATAATAAGTATGTGCAGAATCGAGACATCAAAGGGAGGAAAGGAAGGATTTACTATACAAGGAGTAGCAGCTGCACAAATATCAACCATGAAATGAATAATTACATAATGGTGAGGAAGAGAGAGGGGTTAAAGGGCTATGAGGGTCACATGTGTGAAGTCACTTCAAATAATGAGTCCTTATGGAGATATCTAATCAATAATCTGAATCATATCACCCATTTAGACCAGCCAGGTGAAGGATGTACTTGACACAAATTGATATTTTCACACACACACACACACACACATATACACACAACTCTCTCTCTCTCTCTCTCTCTCTCTTTGTTCACTTGGCTTTCATAACATACATACCCATTTAATCATAAAATAAATAATAATCGTTTTCATTTACAAAATGTTTAAGATGCTTGAAGAAGGGTTCATCAGAACCACACATAGCTAAGAATAAAGAGAGAGAGAGAGGGGGAGGGGGAGGGAGGGAGGGAGAGAGTGCGAGAATGAGGGAAAATAAGATGACAGATATCAGAGAAACCCAAGAAATTATTATGAGGGAGTGAGAGGAATAGATACTATCAGATAATTTCCTTTAGTTTATTTCAAGGAATCTAAAAAGCAGTGTCATCCTCAAAACAGGAGGCACAACCAATGAATAAACACATTATAATACTATTCATCATATCTAATTATATTTATTGTGGATTTGTCTGAGAATCAGCTACAATAACATCCTGGTTTAGTAACCATTTCACACTCGCCCACAAATGCGAAAGGAAAAAATCAGGTCTGTTGTATAAACTACCTAATCTGCAAAAATAATACTCCACTATACAGTAATGAATTGGATTAGATGACATTAGTGTGAGTCTGGTATCTATTTTGACACAATTTTCTAAAAAAACAAAACCCACTCATTCGAGAAGAGAATGTAGCCCTGTTATTATTATTTTACTAACAGGAAGGAGTAGGAGAGAGAGAGAGAGAATTGTGACAGACACTGGATGGGATGCAATAACTCACACATCATTAAGATATACTTGTATGTACCCAGGGTCCATGTGAATGGGCTTTCTAGGAAAAATCATTTACATTTATTAGCGCCAACTGAATAGGATTAGAATCACCACAATAATAATTATTATTATATCACAATTCTATTACGTAAGATGATTATTAATTTGACACGGGCTTATTTTGAATAATATACCGCCCACCATACCTAATGAGACACACAAAAATTTAATTTGCCACAAATTTGTAAAGTATTACATCCACAAACAATTCATCTACTATAATGCATTTAATGTTAAAGGGGCGGGAACTCTAATAACAAGAGTAATAATATTAATAAAATCCATGCTTTATACTGTTACTTTCAATATTAAAAATGAAAAATTTATTTTAGATATCAAATACGTCACTCACACTCCTAGTTCAGGGGGTGGTAATGGTGGGAGACTTTTCCTAAAGAGTCCTTTATGCAGCTCTGAGGAGGACGCCATTTTGAAACGAGTGGGCGTTAAAGTGAGTCGTAGGAGGGGCTTGGTGGGAAGGTGTGGCTCCCTGCACCAGTTTGTATAAATTGAGGTCACTTCAGCAAGGCTTATGCAATGCTAAAAATATCTTTGAAAGGATTTCTTTAGAGAATAAAAGACAGGCATACAGAGAGAGGCAAGGATAAGATTGTGTAGGAGGTAAACAGATAAAGAATATCAAACCAGCATACCTTGCTTTGACCTACTGAGAAAGATACCCATTGAACATCTGGTGTTTTCTGCAATAGTGTGGGTGAACAAACTTATTTTTACTCATTTATATATATATATTAACCTGAGACTTAAGTCTACAGCTCATCTGGTGTCTCCATTCCTTTCTCTATTCTTGTTCTTCTTATTATGAGCTTAGCTGGCGTCTGCGGCCCAAGCGTTGCTGGAATGAAGAGAGGAAGAGACTTTCATCCGCCACGAGGCTCCTCTGCTGCTGCCATGCAGTTTGATTGTCATCTCTCTCACGAGTTCGAGCCCTTTAAAAAGATGCCCTGTCTCTCAAATATATCGCCAGGCCCTGCAGTGTCCCTACCAGTCCCAGTCACCATACAAGCCCCTCCATTACTGCATCACGCTATGGTGAGTCGTTGCTCTCCACCCGCAGGAGCAGTAAGCAGCAACTACAGCACAACCGGACATATAGTCACAGGCCATGCCTTGCATACCGTCGTTCCTTTTGGCCCTGGAATCCAATCAGGCGATGCTCTGAGGATGGAGGACATTGAACTACAAACGGATCAATCAAAAAATGGCTTTACATTATTCATTAGTGATGAACCAGAAGAAGTAAGTTCAGCAATTACATCATTAAATGGTTTCATTGCAAGGCATTATTCTTTCTTTCCTTTCCCCTCTCTCTCTCTCTCTTTCATTCTTTCGTATAATAGAATTATAGAGCCCGATATGAAAGTGAAGGGTGCAGAGGCCCAATGAAAGGAAGGAATGGTGGATGCCCTTCTGTTACGGTAAACCAAATTCCCTCTCTCTCTCTCTCCCTCTCTCTCTCTCTCTCTCTCTCTCTCTCTCTCTCTCTCTCTCTTCTCTTTCTCTTTCTCTTCCTAACTAATCCCATGAGACTAGTGTAAAGTGTATATATGCGAGGCTGTTCACAAATCAAACGTTATAATAAGATCGGCCGTTTGATATCATAAGGTTTCAATATCAATGAGAGAGAGAGAGAGAGGGAGAGAAGGAGGAAGACAACTATACACATGCATACATGCACACATGCAGCTTTCCAGGAATTTATCCTTGATAAACTATGAATCTATTCAAAGACAACATTGATACATATATTTGAATATTCAACATAAGCTTGCTAGGCAAAACATTTGACCAGTTTCAGTATGAACTCCCTAACACTTGCACACAAACACATTGCACATTATGCATGTATAATGCAATGACTTATATGACCCGCATACACAATAATATCATGCAAACGTTATTATTATTATTTCTTATTATTATTATAACTTGAGGAGTACTGATGGTTTTATAGAAATAGCAAACCTGTATAGTAGTAGTATAGTACTTACAATGTGAAAGGAGTGAGAGGGGGAGAAGGTTATGAAAGCTGTACTAGAGGTGCCAATTGCAACAGCATTTAGTAACAATATCTTCTCCCTTATAGTTAGTAAATCCTCAACAATGTCCATTGGTATCAGCAGAAGTGAGTGTTGAGCTAACATCTAATGACGGGACAGTGCTGCAGTCTTGTCGGCTGGACAGCATGGAGGAAGGACAGAACCTTCACAAGAAACTGATTATAGGAGAGAAGACAGTGTAAGATAGCTTATGATTTAATAAAACTATATTTAATTTCTTTTCTTTTATAGTTTTGATAACCTTCGCATTAGACGACTTAAGAAAACCGACACGACTTCATCATCTCCCAAAGGTGCCACAATGCCAGCCAAGAAGACTGGGGGACGAGGGAAACAAGACGAAAAGCAGGCTCACCTACAGTTCAAAGCAAAACTAACACTAGAGAATCAACAAATAATAACGTTAAAAGCAATCAGCTCCGCTATTTATCTCAGTAAGTGAAGAGAGAGAGATGAAGAGAGAGTTGTGTTTGTGTGGATGGTGTGTGTATATCTACAGTAAGGATGTTAACACATACATTATGTCACAAAGGAAATTGCTAACATTTTTCAGTTTAGTTCCAATAGTTAATAAAGTTAATTAACTAACCACAATGATAAATAGAATCCTAAGCTAATACCGACACTAGACCTCACTAATCACATTATTATTCTTCAATTACTAGATGCTAATCACGACCCACCAGAGATACACAAGATAATCCCAGACTTTGGTAACCATGGTACTCAGGTAGCCATCATTGGCACTAGAATGCACTCACGTAAGTATCATACATACATACATGTACATACATACATGTACATACATTTAAATACTTACATGCATACATATGTACATATATGTACGTGAATAATGTAATAACTTGATTATTGTTCCCTTTTTTGTTACAGCAAGAGTGATGTTCATTTTTACCGGTCAAGATGGACGAGAAAATGAAATCATTGCTGACATTGAGAAAGAAATATCGCATCAGGTATATGATAAATAAATAGTGATGCTTAATTTTATTTCCTTTTCTTTAGAATGCTCTTGTTATTAAAGTCCCTCAGATACCTGGAAATATATTCAGTGGCTCGTGTGTTGTGTCTCCAGTCAAAATACGAGTGACAGCTGGTAAAGGAGACAGAACAGGAAGGGATCCTTTACGAAGCAACCTCTATCCTTTCTCATATGTTAAGCAAGGTAAGACAGGCTGAGAAGAATTATAATCAAGAGAGAGAAAGGGGAGTGTTATAAAAGGTGTTGTTGGTGTTCTAAAATAAGAGAAGGGTTGAACAAAGATAGAGAGGAGTGAACTACTATAGACAGAGGTTAGGAAGAAGGTGGGGCATTACAAGAAAGTGAATGTGTGCAGTCTGATTGTGGGATGATAACAATAACATACTTACAGTAATACATATAGCCACCTAACAAAACTATACTGGGTCTCTCATACTATTAATAAGATATAGTCTGGACTCCAGTCAGTGGTTTTGATAAGTACCACAGTAAAAGTACCCCATTAGGTCAAGTAGTAGAGTCCAACCACAATACGTGTTAAAAAAGCTATTGGGTGTAAAAGCTATAATGAAGAACGTGTAGTGCATATGTACATTTAATAATGTATTTATAATAAATATTATTATTTATTTATTACTAGGTCCCTGTAAGGAGTGCTCAATGGCTTCCCTAACTCCTCCTTCCCTCCCCCAGTACTCCAGCACTGGTTACATGCCTGCTCATTACATGATGCCCACGGCCTCCTCCGTCATCATGACCTCCTCGAGGCCACACCCAATATCCCCCCACCACACCCCTCCCCCTCCCGTCACTCCCACCTCCTCCGTGACCGGACGTGTCGAGGTAGATCAGATCCTAGAGGACCTCTGCGAAGAATCCAATCCCGCCCATTCTTGCATCATATCGCCAACACCTCAACACTCGCCGTATAGCTACCCAAGCCACACCTCTCCCATGGGTGGAGGGAGGTTCACGCCCACAGTATCAAGCATGGAGAGTATTGTTATGCCGACGGAGACAACTAGCCAAGTCAAACCAGAGGAGTTAGAGAGGTATCTGCCATCTTATCCCTCTCCTCCTCTCATTAGCTACGCTTCTCCGATTAACTCCTACTCTCCTCCTTATTGCCAAGGCCCTAGCAGCTACTCGTCGTCCTGACAACGGTTGCCGGGGAAGTATTGCGCAATACTATCAGTCGGGTTGTGTCAATCCTTTTCTGCCAGAAACTAAGTAACGATGTTATACATCAAAACCATTAACTGTAATTGTTATCCTCCCTCTCTCTCTCTCATGGTAGTCTATTTCTAATGAAATAATTATTATTATATACTTCTCTCCTATATCCTTTCTCTTTACTCCAGTTAGCTATAGGCTTAAGATTATATATTGGTATCTAGTAGTAGTAATGGTTATTATTAATATTATACACGTATAAGTGAAAGTGTTTATTAGTTCTGTTTCCTCTTTCCTCCTCTCCTCTCCCTTGTCTCTTTTTATTTGTTTTTGACAAATTTAATTTCTCTTTCCTTTCCTCGGAATGTTTTTAATATTCTACACACACAAATAAATACCCTTAATTACCTCTTAAACTATAAATTATACTTACATTATATACAAATATATAAATTATATTATAAATTGTCTATTATTACGTATATATATTTGATGTAATTGCTACTGTATTACTTATAATTATTTGTGCTGTTTTTTTTTCAAATAAATTTCAAACATGTCTTAGACATAAATTCATTGTACCAAAGCGAGGCGAGCTTTTATTTGCAACGGAGGTTTCTGAATAATTTCATTATTATTTATCAAAAAAAAGGAATAATAATAATAATAATCAGTGTCACTGTCTCCCTCTCTCTCTGTGTCCCTTTTTAATCTTCACTATCTACATCAACCGTCTTTGTTTCTAGCCCTGAGAGGAGAAGAAAGAGAGAGAGAGAGAGAATTAATAGACACAGGTCAACTTGAGGATAGACAGAGAGAGAGGTTAGGATTCTTGTGAATCAATTATTAACAATTCCAGGAATAGATATCGAGTATAATAATAACGTATTACTGTTATTATAACAACATAACTGACAAAACAACAACAACAATCGCAATACAAATGCGGGCACGCACACACGTACACTCACATACTAACCCAGTGACATATATGTACACGCATGTGTACATCATATCCAGTAATGATGTACATACATATTGATAATTAATAATAACACTGTGGCAGACTATAGAAAGGGAGAACCCCATTACGATAAGCAGTAAGAGATGGCGTGGGCATGATAGAGAAAGAGAGAGGAAGAGAAGGATACACAAAAAACAAGAAAAATGAAAGTAGAGAGAGGGATATAGAGGAATAGAGTGGGATGCAATATACATAATGTAGTGTATTTTCTCAAAGAAAAGGACACCGCATACACAATCATTGACAGCTGGTCAACACTGTCCACTCATACACCAATCAGAAGCAATAGGTAAACTGCAACGAGGCTCAAAGAATAATTGAAAATATGAAACACATACATACAGTAAACATAGAGACACCTGCAACCTTCTATACCTCATATACATGTCTCTCTTATTATTCTATTTTTAGTAACATGTCACACATAAATGTGTCATAATTATGTATGAAGAATTTTAAGGGGAAAAAGAACCGCTGGATTTCCCCTCTTTGAATTACAACTGATCAACAATTAGTGGTTCAAATGAATTCCATAACTACCAAATAATTAATAGCCATAACGGTAATAGTGACAACAGTGTCTATGGTAATGTTTAGGTATTGTTTACAAGCAAGAAGGTTTATTTCCCCCCCCCCAAATATCTTCCACACACACTCTCTCTCTCTTTACCTTTGAATGACTCCACGTGAACATGAGTGACAAGAGTGTAGAATTTATTGGCAGTGTCATCATCGTCGTTTCTCTTACGGTGGAGTCTCACTCTGATTCTGAATGGAACGTTCCTAAATAAAAAGTAAAGAGCTTTTTAAAGTAACAACTTTTCAAAAGTACCCTGTACTATAGCCCATGCTTTTTTTCACAAAAATGATTCTAAAATGACCCCAAATTTTTATTACATATTCTGAGATATAATGATGTACTTATGCTATGTAGAAAGTTTGAGCTGATTCAGACTTCAATTTTTCGAGTTATGGCCATTTTCAAGAATGAGCCAAAATTTGAAAAATACCCTGTACTATAGCCCATGCTTTTTTCCAAAAAATGGCTCCGAAATCACCCCTAATTTTTATTACATTTTCTGATACATATTGATGTCCTTATGCCATGTAGAAAGTTTGAGCTGATTTCGACATCAGTTTTTCGAGTTATGGCCATTTTTAAAAATGAGCCAAAATCTAAAAAATTCCCTGTACTATAGCCCATGGTTTTTTCCAAAAAATGGCTCCAAAATCACCCCCAATTTTTATTACATTTTCTGATATATATTGATGCCCTTATGCTGTGTAGAAAGTTTGAGCTGATTCCGACTTCAATTTTTCAAGTTATGGCCATTTTAAAAATAACCATTATTATTACTCCTCACCTGACTCCCTTTGACCACACCTCCTTGTTAAGTTTAGTGTCAATCCTAACGTCAGTGGTCCTCATTTGTTTCTGTGCAAATTTCTTAATCGCCTTAATAGCCCGAGGAGCTCTCTTCTTAAATCCACTAAATAAAATATAAAAAGCACAAATAATAAAAAACTAATAATTTTAATTAGTAGGTGTGGCTTTTAAATTAGCCACACCCACTTATCATTACCAATCGTATCAAATCTCCCATATTTATATATAGTTACGTGTACTCCCTCTTACATTCCATGTATGTATTTATGTAAGTGGATGGTGTATTCTCTTGTCACGACTTCCTTTAGAGCTGATTTAGTCTTCTCTCCTTTTCCAGGCATCTAGTTAGAAAAATTTAAATTAAAATAGTCATTCTGAATTTTCATATTTTGCTTTTCACTCTCTTTTCTCTGCCTCTCAGGATTCAAAATGATTTTCTATTTCACTAACCTTCTTGATGTCTCAACGTGATTTATAGAAGAAAGAAAGAATCGAAGTTGTGCGCATGCTCAAACACACGTGCTTGCACGTTGTCCCAGTATCCTGAAAATAAACAAAATTAGCTGTCTCCGTAATTTTCCCGTATTATTATTGCATACTCTCTCCGCTTATTATAAGTGTTGATCATTATTCACACCTCAGGTGAGCAGTAAAGTCACAATTATGTCAACAAATAAAATAGATAAAAAATGTTTAAAGGTTCCTAAAGGCAGTAGGAGACTCCTTTCTTTAAATAAGACCGAAAACACCAAAGTTAGCCTCTGAATTAATTTTTTAATTTAATTTTTATTTATGATAATATTTTTATTAATTCTACTGTTGTTGCTAGAGTTTAACATCATTGACTGTCACTTTCAATCCAAAGAGAAGGTTATCAGCTCCTACATATGCAGCCCACAAGTCAATATTTGCTACCAAAGGAATAACTGTAAATAATAATTATTAATTATTTACATTGAAATTGATATAATTTTTATTTTCATTTTTCAAGCCTTTGGAGTACTTCAGGAAATTTGCAGTTATTGTTAAAATAATGGTAATATTACAAAATCAAATTAAACGGTGACTAGTATTTGCATTATTTTCATTATAAGACTGAACATGCTTTTTTTCTGTAGAGAAAGAAGCAAAGGTATTTGGTCAAGATTAGAAACCCAAACTGCTATCCAACAGCAACTCTCTGAAGTATTGGAATGGAAATTGAGCGAAATACCAATCATCACACTAGTACAATTAATAATTGCTTTTTTATTGAGATTAGTTTTTAAAATAGAAAACACCTTCTGGTCGTCATTTGCAGCAACTGCTTGGAGTACCAGCAAAAAGAAGAACAATCACTGAAGAAGGAATGGTATAACTATTCAGTATCCACTCACTCTTATTTTTTTCTCTTTCTTTATCATTTTTCTAGTTATTGAGGTATATACAAAGACTGCATACAATACAGGACTTCCCATTAGATGTACAAAAGAGATTAGCAACTGTAATGACTCTGGAAAGGTTTGTGCAACAATAATTATTATTAGTAATTTACTGAGTAGTTACATTAGTTATGAATCAGGACGTATCATAATAAAAGAAACACATCCAGCTATGTCAGTTTATTTTATTTGGTGTGGCTCAGGTAAATTCTACATATAATACATTGCATATTGTATTTTTGATTTTAATAATATTACTGAACAGTGTATGTTAATCAAAAGGAAACTGACGTCAGAACGGATAGAGTTTTTGATTTGACTGTCAATCTTCTTAAGCCTGGAGATTGGTTTGGGGTAAGTTATCAGCTATTAATAACCGCATTCCTTATAAGGAAAGAGGAGTACTATATAGAACAAAGCACAATGTAACTGTCATCAGTAGAGGATATGTGGAATTACTTGTAGTACGTGGGAAGGTAAGAAACTATAAAAAATTAATTTGATATTTTTCTGAAGGATTTTTATGAGATATTAGCAAACTCAGTATTAGACAAAACACAAGCTGCTATCCAATACTTAAGGTAAATCAATCTTCTCATTTTTTATTTTCCTCTCATCATCATTTTAACTCATTACCAGTGAGCTACCATTAGTCAGTGCTTGGCCTGTTCATTTACTGTCCTCATCTCCGGACTTTATTTATGCAAAATATTTCAAGTTAATAATGCACAATAGCAATAGTAATTATTGCTAATAATTGCATGTAGGTATAACAGTATTGTTGTTCAATGTTCTCCTAATAATAGACCAGACTGGATAGTAGCTGTTAAAAGAGTAAGACTTTACTATAGTGTAGGCTAAAAAATTATGCATTGTAATAGGGTAGTTGTAGAATTATTATTGAGTTTCTGGAGCATGCAAAAGAGAAGGATACGTTCACATTACCATTAGTACCTCCATCTGTGTGTCTGGTATCAGCTAATTACAGGTTGAGGGACAATAGGAGGACTGTTAGGAGGCGCTACATGCAATTGAATACTGTAGAACCAGGAGAATGCTTTGTAAGTTCATTTTAAATGCTTTGTAGTGCAAATTTTAAAAGAATAATTTTAATGCAGGGAATACAATTAATTTATAACAAGCCAGCATGCAGGATGAGTTTAGTGAGTGCAGGAAGTAGAGTTTAGTTAGCAGTTGCTATTATTTATTGAACAGATGAGTCGTGGTTCAGAGTGTGTACTGGTTAAAAGACACTTCTTTATTAAAAATACAAACCCTGACCTATTGAGACTTTTTAGAACAGAAGTAAGAGGAAAAACAAGTGTGTAAATATCATTTATTATTATTTTTATTAGTCTGGATATTTTCCAGAGAAGAGCCAATTAGTTGGTGCCATCAATGAGCAGAATAAATGGAAACTATTTAAGAAGCAGATTATTCATGAGCTTCATTAATAAAGTTATAAAAATTAATAACCATCAATTTGCTGGGTGTGACCATATTTTAACCACGCCCATAAGAATATGGCGTCTGATAAGCCAAGTCGAGAGCAGCAGAGTCCAGAAATGATAGCATTTCATTCTCAGTACAGTGCTCTGGCCGACACACTCTCTGGGAATCAATCAGTTATCCTTCCATTTGCTACTCATCTCTACACTAACGATATAATAGACAAGACGGTGCATCAAAATGTACAGGACTCAAGGAATCCCCCATACGAGAGGGCAGTCACCATACTCTCTGCCATCGAGTCAGTTAAAATGAAGCTATTGCCAGAGAAGACGTTCAGAGCAGTTGTGTTAGCCTTGAGGAAGATTGACTTAAGTATGACGGCTAACAAACTTATAGAAGAACTTGGTACGAAAAAGAATATGTTGTTTGTATTGGTTGTGTGTTGTTATTGTTATTATTATTATTTTGTTATTATAGAGGCTAGTGGTGGCACTGTTCCCCCTGATTTGGCTCCTCAACTTTCACCAAAAGAAAGTAAAGTGTCTCTTACTGGTCAGTATTGATACTATTTATAGTAACATTACTATGACATTCTATTTATAGGTGATTCACAATTACCAGTCCTTGAAGGTAATTTATTATTCATGTATTTATTATTTTATTATTAATTAGATACTGAGCCTGATATTAACGATTTAATGAATTTTGTTGCAGTTCACATAGTTGGAGATCAATGGAAGATGGTATTAGTAATATTTTTAACACAAGATGGACAATTCTTTCTTTCTTCTCCCTCCCCTTTCTCTCTCCTCTGTTTTTGAATATAGTTAGCTAACAGTCTTGATTTTGATGAAGCAGAGATTGAATCAATAGCAATTAACAATCAGTATGAAGTGTTGGAGTGCTGCAGGGATTTATTCAACACCTGGAGGAGCAAGGCTTACCCTCCATATCTCTGGTCTGAGCTCCAGACTAGACTCTGCAGTCCTACTGTGAAGTTAAATGCTGTAGCTCAAGAAATACCAAAAAGGAGAGAGAAACAAAAGGAGATGAATAGTGAGAGAGAGGGGGGGAGAGGAGACAGGAGAGATGATTTTCCAGTTTTATTTCTCTGAAAAAGTATGGGATTATAATATCTTTATTTTATAGAGAAATATGAAGTTTACCAACACTTTAGCTCACCAACAACTGCAGTGCTAATGCAGAAGGTAGGTTGTGAGGTCTCAGATAAATGGAGGGGGATAGGGAGTGAGCTGGGACTGAGTCCATCTACACTGAGCAACATTGGGAGAAAGAATAGAGATGATACTCTCAAGATTATGGATGTCTTCTCAAGATGGCAGGCACAGCTAACTACTCCTAATACCTGGTCTAGTGTATTGATTGCCCTATCTTCTCCTCAGGTCAAAGAAATGAAACTGGCTGACATAATTTGTAGCGATTTGAAAAAATAATTTGTACTGTTCATAATAATCATATACTGTGAGTGTTTAGAAATTTATTTTATAATTTTTACAATTAAATTTAGTTTCTAAAACTACTACATTATATTGCAAAAGGCAAAATACAAAAGCAAAAATTTTGTGCGTGTGGTTGTGCATGATAAAAAAAGTAAAAATAATGTATAGGAAGGGGTTAGCTATAGTGTCACACTTATGAAGGAGAAGTTGGTATTGTTGGTTCTTCTATTGGCTGAGGAGGATCATCAGCCTCACTGGCCTTTGTCTCTGTCAATTGAGACTGAAGAGCTACAACAATAAGAAAAGAAATAATACAAGTGGACACTGCCTTAGCTAATAGAACAAGTGCAAGTTACTTTTATCAATTTAGCAAATAATTTAGTAAGGGATTTTAAAAACATTATAGTTACAAAAATTCTAAAATTAGTAGAGCAAAAATTTAAAATCTGACAACTAGTACTGGTACTTTGCTTGATATTTTGTACCTTTCAAGTTTTCAGTCAAGCTCTTGTTCTCCTCCTCTTTCTCTGCTAATTCTTTCTCGAGTTCTTTCAGCTTCTCTTTCAATACTGATATCTCTTTCTTACCATCCTCCAACAATTTGTCTACAAAGAAAGAAAGAGAAGGAAAGAAAAAAGAAGAGAAAGAGAGTTAACTTAATATGGCTCTCATAGTTCTAAGTAGCATTACCTTCTTTCTGTTTCTTCTCTCGTTTCAGACGTTCCAATTCGTTAGTCAACCTTTTCTTTTCGTACGCTTCTACATGTACAAAAAATATATAAAACTTATAAATTAATTTGTTGGTGTGGGTGTATATCTTACCAGGATCCTTCAGTGCTTCCTCCATTTCTATAATAATAATAAAAATAAATCAAAGTCATTTTAATAAAAATGTGGTGTGCCCAACTTAAAAAATTCATAAAATTTAAATGTGATCAGAATCAGCTAAAACTTTCTACGCAACATAAGTACATGTATATGTATCAGAAAAAATAATAAAAATGGAGAATTCTCTACTTTTCATTTTTTGGTAAAATTTAGCCCGTGACCCTGTACTATAGTACAGGGACTTTTGTCCGATTTTTGAGTAACTTTAAGAATTCATAAAAAATCCAATTTTGATTGGAATTAGCTCAAACTTTCTACATAACATAAAAACATGTATATGTATCAAGGAAAATTATAAAAATGAAGAAATCTTTACTTTTCATTTTTGGCAAAATTTGGCCCGTGACCCTGTACTATAGTACAGGGACTTTTGTCTGATTTTTGAGCAACTTTTGTCAAAATTCAGACAGACAATGAGTACTATACTATAATCCTGTTGGAAACCCTGTGTGCATGTGCTAATATCTTTAAAAGTACCTTTTATTTCATCCCTCAAACTCTTTTCTTTCTCTCTCTCTTGCTTCAAGTATAACTTTAATTCTGAGACTTTTCTCTCCAATGGGGTGCCCTAAAGAGAACAACAGAGGGAGAGAGAGGAGGGGGCAGAGAAAGAAGGATAAATAAAGAAATAGACAGTGAGAGAGAGGAAGAGAAATTACAATAGTATTTGGATCAGTGTGTGTGTGTGTGTGTGTGTGTGTGTGTGTGTGTGTGTGTGTGTGATAGTATCATAGTAATAATTCTAACCTCTTTTATCTTTTGCAATATATCAGCCAACTCTTCCACTTCCTAAAAAATAACAAAATCACATATTAATAATTACCATCCTTCCTTCCTAATCACATTTTTTTATGCATCATCCACTTTAAAAAATTATATAATCAATAACATTTCAAACCTGTTCCTTATCTTTTAAAGTTTCAGACAGTTTTTCCACTATGTCCTCTAACTCAGCAGTCGTCTATAAACAAACAATAAACAATATCAATATACACTGCACTAGTTGACAAACACTTTATATTAGTAATTTATAATGGCATACATGTACATGTACTGTAGACTCACTTTTGGTCTGTCTTCATCATCAAGGGATGCACTGCTAGTGTCTTGGCCTTCTTCTTGAGTTGCCTCTGATGGTTGTGGCTCCTCTCTCTCCTTTAAAATAAAAGAAAATAATAATTCTTCTAATCACTTCCTTCTATTCTTCTCCCTCCTCTCTCTCTCTCCCTCCTTTTCTCTCTCTCTCTCTCTCTCTCTCTCTCTCTTACTTTAGTCAGGAAATCATGTACTTGTTTCTTCCACACGGTCAGGTACCCAATGGTCACCTTTACAATCCCATCACTAATAAGAGCTTCAATATTATCATGGACAGTGGCTATGGCTGCCCCCATGAGCGTGTAAAGAAACACACAATTAACATGAACCTCATCGCTGGACATCTCAAGATTATAAACCTTCATGAGTTTCCCGGTTGATTTTGAAACTATATCCACAGCATCTTTCAACTTCTTCTGCTCTGGGTCCCACTTAAAAGCAAAAGTAGCACTCTCACATTTAAGAGGAGGAGGCATCAGAATTGTGTTGAGACTCTCAGTGGCGCAAACTCGTACTGGGAGTCTACTAGCATAGTTCATCATAGCTTCTTGGTACTCACTAATGATTTCCCTTCCCTCGGGTAACTGGAGGTGCTCCGTTAGTCCTTGGAGCATCTCAATATCGATTAGGTTAGAGCTGCTTCTCATCAGTAATAACTGATCGTTGATTGACTCTGCTACTAACAGCTGGCCTTCTAATTGTGAGGTGAAGCATTCGATGAAGGACTTTATGTCTTCCATTGCTGGAGCATGTCTTGTGATGGTGTCGCTCAGTTTCTTAAACATTTTAATGTAGAGCTCATGAAATGAAGTGAAGTCATCACTCTTTCTTTTAGGTACAGGTATACGACCACCTGTAAATACAGCATTAAATTCATCAAATATAGATTATATTTATATTTATTCAGTAAATGTGTTTTCTGTATGTCTCTCACCTTCGTTTGTCTCCCAAGTTACTTCATTCTCATCAAGAAAAGATTCATCTAGCAATAATGACAATAAACTCATAACAATACATGTAGGTACAATGTACTGTAATACATTAAGGTCCATTTGTGTTCACCCGAGCCCTAGTTTTCTTGCAATAACTTTTGACTTACAGTTCCTATTGTAAAAATAAACATACCTGTGCATTCCTCTC